ACGGACAGAAAATATGGCATCTGTGCAGGACCGCCCTTTCCTGAAACCGCATTGGGGCTCCGCAAGCCTCTCCTCAGCGTGCCTGGCAAGGCGATGTTGAATAATCCTTGCCAGGACCTTTCCCGGCACACTGAGGAGTGAGATGCCCCTGTAGTTGTTACAGTCTGTGCGGTCCCCCTTCTTAAAAAGGGGCACCACCAGGGCATCCTTCCAATTCTGCAGAACCCGTCCAGTGGTCCAGACTGTTGTTATGATGTCATATAGGGCAGTCTGTGCACAAACGCCGCCCTCCCTCAGCATTTCGCTTGGGAGATCATTTCTGCCCGCTGCCTTTCCTGGTCTCAGACTCCGGATCGCCTTCAGTACGTCCTCAACAGATGGCACCTCAGCCAGCCACTCACAGGGGGTGACTTCTTTCAATATTTGAGGCACCGCAACCTCAGCAGGATCATCCTCACTTTGTGCCACGATGTTTTCCTGGCTGAGGGATTTTCCCTTCCCCAGGACCTCACAGAATTGCTCGGCAAATCTGCAAACCTGTTCCTGGGGGTCGGAGATTGGATCACCGTTTTTTCCCCTAATGATGGTAATAGGTGTGGCACTGCAGGTTACTTTTTTGATGGAGTTAAATAGAGATTTGTGATCAGGGGCCACTGAGGCAGACTCCATCTCCTCTGCAACCCGCGACCACCGCCCATCCTTGCAGCGCCTCACGGCTCTCCGAACCTCCGAGCGAAGGCTGCGGTAAGCCTCCTCATTCTCTGATGTGGGATTCTGTAGCCGATAACAGTGGGCCTGTCGCTTTTTCTCAACCATCCTGAACACTTCCTCTGTCAGCCAGGGTCTCTGGGGAGGTCTGGACCGCGTACCCAAAGCAGCCATTGCAGCTGCATGAGTCACAGTCCTAAACCTCGCCCATTTACCCTCGACATCAGGAGGAGTTGGGGACGATGCCAATCCCAGCCTGCAAGTGATGATGAAATTCTCACTTGCAACTTTCATCAGATAACTGAGACCAGGCCACTTTAAGTTGGAATGGGGTCCTGGGTGTACACCCACCACCGGAGTGGAAGAATGGCAGGCGCATCTTACAGATGATTAGTCGATGGTCAGAGGGCAGATCAGCTCCACGGTAGGTCCTGGTGTCAAGGACATGGGCTTGCATCGGCTGGTCCATCACTATGTAGTCCAGCAGATGTTCTTGCTTGGACCCGGCATGCATCCATGATGTTGTGTGGATGCGCCGATGCCGGAACAGCGTGTTGGTAATTACAAGCCCATGGGCTGCACAAAAATCTAGCAGCCTCCTACCGTTGTTATTGAGCTGATCTGGCCCATGCCCTCCAATCACTCCAGACCAGGTGCCAGCATCATGACCAACTCGGGCATTGAAGTCACCCAACATGATGACTCTATCCCGAGGGGCCACTTTAGCCAGCACCTGTGACAGGAGGTCATAGAAGGCATCTGACTCATCGGCTTTGCCTGCATCCCTCCACGGATGTTCATCTTCGGTGGGGGCATAAGTAACCACGACCACCATTCCTCGCCTACGGTTTATGGGAAGGCGTGCCCAAAGTAGCGTGGGGCTTACAGCTTCCCACACCTCACCGCCACGCTCCCACGCCCCCTTCATTCTTTTGTTCAAAAGAAGAGCCACACCCTGTTGTTTGGCAGTCTGTTGCCCCGAGTAGAGGACTGTCCACCCCTCATGGTGGCAGGAGCCAGAACCGGTCCACCGGACCTCCTGAATGCCACATAGATCCAGGCGGTACCGGTCCAGCTCCCGACAGAGGAGTAGCAGCCTCTCCTCCACAGTGAGCGTTAGAACATTCCACGTGGCCACCCGTAGTGGTTTTTCGTTGTTTCTGGAGGAGCCCCGAGGGTAGAAATTCAATCTCCTGGCTCCGCCAATTGGGGTTTGGCCAGGAGACGTCATAGACGCCTGGCCCCCCGGGGCCTCCAACACAAGCTTATTAGTTACATACTTATTTCGCGGTTTAGTGGTAATTAATTGAAGGTGGAGGGGTTACCAGCCCCTCGCACCCGTCCAGAGCCCCCGTTTAGCCCCTGTGGTGGTCACAGACGATATGAGGGGAGGAACCAATCGAAATTGGTCCTCCCCCCACAGCACTGTCCACGACAGAGTTGCCCGTCCGGCACCGCGAGGAGTTAGGGGGTTGTTTTACACACACACACACTCACTCACACACTCACTCACTCACACACTCACACACCCACTCACTCACACACTCACTCACACACTCACACACTCACTCACAAACTCACTCACACACTCACACACTCACTCACAAACTCACTCACACACTCACACACTCACACACTCACACACTCACACACTCACTCACACACTCACTCAGACACTCACACACTCACTCTCTCACACACTCACTCACACACACTCACACACACTCACACCCTCACTCACACACACTCACACACACACTCACTCACCCACTCACAACACAAGCGGCCTTCATCAGGTGAAGGGACGAGACTATCCTCCAGACAGTCTCGTCCCTTCACCTGATGTCCTCCAGACAGTCTCGTCCCTTCACCTGATGAAGGCCGCTTGTGTTGTGGCCGAAACGTCGTGAGAAACATTAACTCGTCTCGGGATTTTATTCGAGTGCACGATTTGTTTCGATACCCCCTCGAGTGCAGGTGATTTTACGTTTAAAATAAATCTGGCTTATGCTCACCACCACCACTACCAGTGGAAGAATGGTAGTTCGGTTGAACTTATTTCGCAGCTTACATAGCCGACCCCATGCTCAGCGAAGATCGGCGCATCTTACAGATGACGCATCTTACGGATGACGCATCTCGCGGATGACGCATCTCGCGGATGACGCATCTCGCGGATGACGCATCTCGCGGATGACGCATCTCGCGGATGACGCATCTCGCGGATGACGCATCTCACGGATGACGCATCTCACGGATGACGCATCTTACGGATGACGCATCTTACGGATGACGCATCTTGCGGATGACGCATCTTACGGATGACGCATCTTACGGATGACGCATCTTACGGATGACGCATCTTACGGATGACGCATCTTAGAGATGACGCATCTTACGGATGACGCATCTTACGGATGACGCATCTTAGGGATGACGCATCTTATGGATGACGCATCTTACGGATGACGCATCTTGCGGATGACGCATCTTACGGATGACGCATCTCACGGATGACGCATCTCGCGGATGACGCATCTCACGGATGACGCATCTTACGGATGACGCATCTTACGGATGACGCATCTTACGGATGACGCATCTTACGGATGACGCATCTTACGAATGACGCATCTTAGAGATGACGCATCTTACGGATGACGCATCTTACGGATGACGCATCTTAGGGATGACGCATCTTACGGATGACACATCTTACGGATGACGCATCTTGCGGATGACGCATTTTACGGATGACGCATCTCACGGATGACGCATCTCGCGGATGACGCATCTCGCGGATGACGCATCTTACGGATGACGCATCTTACGGATGACGCATCTTACGGATGACGCATCTTACGAATGACGCATCTTAGGGATGACGCATCTTACGGATGACGCATCTTACGGATGACGCATCTTACGGATGACGCATCTTACGGATGACGCATCTTACGGATGACGCATCTTACGGATGACGCATCTTAGAGATGACGCATCTTACGGATGACGCATCTTAGAGATGACGCATCTTACGGATGACGCATCTTACGGATGACGCATCTTGCGGATGACGCATCTTACGGATGACGCATCTTACGGATGACGCATCTAACAGATGACGCATCTTACAGACGGGGCATCTTACGGATGACGCATCTTACGGATGACGCATCTTACAGATGATGCATCATGCGGATGACGCATCTTACAGACGGTGCATCTTACGGATGACGCATCTTACGGATGACGCATCTTGCGGATGACGCATCTTGCGGATGACGCATCTTACGGATGACGCATCTTACGGATGACGCATCTCACGGATGATGCATCTTACGGATGACGCATCTTGCAGACGGGGCATCTTACGGTTGACGCATCTTACGAATGACGCATCTTACAGATGATGCATCATGCGGATGACGCATCTTACAGACGGTGCATCTTACGGATGACGCATCTTACGGATGACGCATCTCACGGATGACGCATCTTACAGATGACGCATCTTACGGATGGACAAGCTGATGGTGAATGGGCAGATCAGCTCCAAGGCCGGTCCTGGTTGTCAAGGGACACGGGCCTGCATTCAACATTGCCACTATTACAGTCGAGCAGATGTTACTGCTGTTGGAGCCCCGCGCGTGCATCCACGATGTCGTGCGGATACGCCGACGCCGGAACAGGGTGGTTTGGCAATGACAATCCCATGGGGCTTGCAACGTAAGTCTAGCCAGCCTCCTACCGTTGCGGTTGAGCCGATCTGACCCACGCCTTCGAAATCCATCGTGGCCCACGCGGGCATGACTGAAAACGAACCTTTCTGTAGGGCTCAAACCGAGCCGTGTAGCTCCCTTAGACACGTGACCTGTCCACAAAATGACAGCTCAATGAATTGGGGCTCGTCACGCGGGAATTTAAAGCCTGTGGTGGTGGGGGGGGCAGGACCCGAAATTCACGTGCCAACGCTTTTGGGTTGAGACATCATTTGTTCGAATAAATAAGGATCGGCGAGCCCCCCAACACCCCCCCCCCTTTACCCTGGTCTCAAAATAATAATTAAAAAAAAATTAAAAAATGTTTTAGTAACAAGCCTCTGGGGGCCACCACGGCAGCTGACACAAGCCCTGGAAAAATATCGCCGCACCAGCACCAGCATCACCGCCACCACCAGCACCACCGCCACCACCAGCACCACCACGACCACGACCGCCAGCACCACCGGCACCACCGCCAGCACCACCGCCAGCACCACCACCACCACCACCGCCACCACCACCGCCACCGCCACCACCACCGCCACCACCACCACCACCGCCACCACCACCACCACCGCCACAACCGCCACCAGCACCACCAGCACCACCACCGCCACCACCACCACCAGCACCACCACCACCACCACTGCCACAACCGCCACCAGCACCACCAGCACCACCACCACCAGCACCACTGCCACCAGCACCGCCACCACCACCACCGCCACAACCGCCACCGCCACCGCCACCACCAGCACCACCCACCGCCACCACCCCCGCCGCCACCACCCCCGCCGCCACCACCAGCACCACCACCGTCACCACCACCACCGTCACCACCACCCCCGTCACCACCACCACCACCACCACCACCACCCGTCACCACCGCCACCACCGCCACCACCAGCACCACCAGCACCACCCACCGTCACCACCACCACCGCCACCACCACCGTCACCACCACCACCGCCACCACCACCACCGCCACCACCACCACCGCCACCACCACCACCACCACCGCCACCACCACCACCACCACCGTCACCACCACCACCGTCACCACCACCTCTCTCCCCTCCGTGCCAGCAGCAGCAGCGGCGGCGTCGCCTCCCTCCCCATCCCCCAACCCGCCACAAGGAGCGAGCCACGCACTCGACGGGGTAATTCATGATAGCTTTATTCTATCAAACAATAGAGACTGTGTACAATATGCGAGATGGAACACGCTGGGGGGAGGTTTGGGGGGGGATTGGGGGGGGCGCGCGCACGAGGGACAAACGAAACTAAACGATAAAAAGGGGGGGGGGGCAGGGGACGAGGGGGTGGGGTGGGTGAGGGGGGGGGGGAGAAGGGGGTAAAAGTCTGGCGGCCTTCGGTCTCTCTACATCCACACACTAAGTAAGCAAAAATGTTAACGACGCTACCGCTTGCAAGCCAAGTCGCCCCCCACTGTCCTCGTTAAGGCTGGGGGGGGGGGGGGGGAGCAGCCTGCTTGTACGCAGCGTGTACACGCTTGTACGTACACAGAAGCGTGTACACGCTTGTACGTACGCAGTGTGTACACGCTTATACGTACGTACAAGCATGTACACGCTTGTACGTACACAGAAGCGTGTACACGCTTGTACGTACAAGCGTGTACACGCTTCTACGTACACAGAAGCGTGTACACGCTTCTACGTACGTAGAAGCGTGTACACGCTGCGTACGTACGCAGTGTGTACACGCTTCTACATGCTGTACACGCTTGTACGTACGCAGCACGGACTCGCGCGGAACCAAGAAAATCTCAACGCCGACCGGCTCCTCTTTTACCACCGCCGGTTCGTCTTAGCTCTCTCTCACTCCTCCCCTCTCCGCCCCCCTCCACCATACACACTATCTCTCTCTCTCTCTCTCGCTCTCGCTCTCTCTCGCTCTCTCTCTCTCGCTCTCTTCAAGATATGTACAGGGGACACCGGGAGACGTCTCGCCGCCGTGGTGACGCCGCCGCCGCCGCAGCCGCAGCCGCCGTCTGCGAGGCGACGGGGGCCCAACTTGGACCCCGTCGCCGAAGTGGGGGGGGGGGGGGGGGGCGGAACCAACGAGTGGAAAGTAAAAACAAAACGGGGGACAAGCGACGAAAGCCGGAAAAGCGAATGGCCAGGGGAGAGGGGGCGGATGGGCGGGGGGGGGAGGGACTTTGAGGGAGGGGGAGGGGGGGGCAGCCCCTCCCCCCTCCGCCCCCCCACACCCCCCCCCCCCCCAAGCCGCCAGCTCGGCCCCCCCCCAACACCCCCACCCCCCCCCCACCCCCTTAACTGTGAACAGCAACGTCTGGAATTTTTCTAAACTCATCTCCTGCGACCCAAACCTGTCTCTCCACTATGTACAGAGCGCTTCATAAACCCCACCCCCTGGGATACCGCACCTACACAGGTAGGTCAAGACGGAAGAGTTTAACAACACCACTCCACCCCCCCCCACCTCTCTCTCTCTCTCTCCCCCCCCCCAACTCTCCCAACAACCCCGCTACCACCCCCCACCACCACCACCAAAAAAAAACACAACACCCTCATTTGTAGACAGTTTTTTTTGTATTTTTTTTTGCTTATTCCTATTTATGTTGTTGCTGCTGTTGTTGTTTATCGAACGTGTCGGTATTAACGGCGACGGGGGGGGGGGGGGGGGGGGGGAGGAGGAGGGGGTGGTGGTGGTGGGGGGGGGGGGAGGGATGGATGGAAAGAAAAAAAACAACCAAATAACCACATCTGTTAGAAAGAGAGAAAACGCTTACAAAAAAATAACGAGATTCGACATTAAACCCAGAACCCTGACCACCCACCCACCCACCCACCACCACCACCACCACCCTCTGTGGTTGCCACGGGGGGCAACCACAAGACGCTTGTGCGGCGGGCAGGAGACCACCCCCCGGGGGCACACGCTCGCTCGCAAAACAAAAAAAACGATTGCATAAATCTCGTTCCGGCGGGAATCTTGTCCGTGAAGTCTCGTTCGCTACAAGATGTCTTACCCCGCCCCCGCCTCCTCATCCTCCTCCTCCTCCTCCTCGCTCCTCTTCCCCCGCCCCCGCTAATATAAACCCCTATAACAGCTACGACGCATCGAGGTAACGTCATCAGGGGTGGGGAAGGGGGGGTTGGAGGAGGGGGAGTCGGGTGGTGGGCCAAAAAAAATATATATCCATCGAGGGTGCGAAGACGGCCGACAGATGGAAGAGGAGGAGGGGAGAATGACGATTTCCCCCACAATTGGTTTTCTTTTGGCTTTTCAGGGGGGGAGGAGGGGGGGGGGGGCAGGGGGGGGGGGGGCGGCCCCCCCTCCCTCCCCTGAAGACCGACAATTTTTTCGAATCGTTTTCCACTTGCCCGGCCGGTCGATTTGCTGCTTTGCGTGGGAATCAGAAAGCGGCGGCGGCGGCGGCGTCGTGAAGTTTTCGCGAACAGTTTTTTGGTTTTTCTTTTGGTCCAATCGGTACACACGACCGACCGCCGTCATGTGACCTTCTCGTCCGCGATCCGGTTGGCCTACGGGCGCGATGGGGGGCAGGGGGGGATGGGGGGGGGCACAGGCGCGAGCGAGCGAGCGAGCGAACGAGCGAGCGAGCGAAACTCGGGCAGGTCATGTGATCCTCCGGCTGCCGACCGATTGGCCGTTGCGGTCCAAAAGTTGCGGTGGAAGGAAAAAAAATCTTCCGGTTTTGAGCAAAAAAATTAAAATAAATTGCGGGAGTTGGCGCGGGAAGTGGCGGGGGGCCGGGGGGCCGGGGGGGGGTGGGTCAAAGGGGTCAGCGATGGCGGCGGCAGGGGGGGGGGGGGGCGGGTGTGGGTGTCGTGGCAACTTGGCGCTAGCGGCGATCGCCTTCAAGAAACTTCCACCACCACCACCACCACACCCCGGTGTTGTCATGTCATGACCCCGCCCCTTCTACCCTTCGTCATCACCGCCACGGGTCGCGCGCGCGGTTTAGAGTTTTGCCGAGCGGCGGCGCTGAACCAAATCGATCGCCCCCCCCCCCCGCCCCCGCCCCCACCCCGGTGTCTACGGTCGGCGCCGGCGTCTCGGGCCGCCGCCGGCGCCGGCAACGCCGCGGCCGCTGTCGGACTTTCTCACCGCCCCCTCCCCCCTCCCGATTTCATCGTCGTCGACGTCACACCGATCCCCCGTCAGGCGTGGCCAAAGTTCAAAACAAAACATCGCTCCAATCTCCTCCTCTGCCTCCTCTGCCTCCTCCGCCCCGTAGTCGCCGCCCGGTCTCTCGCACCTCCACCACCTCCTCCTCCTCCTTGCCCGAGGAGGAGGAGGAGGAGAATCACTCCACCTCCTCCGAGCTGCTGCTATCCTCCGACTCCTCGTCGGACTCCTCCTCCTCCTCGCCGTCCTCCTCCTCCCCGTCCTCGTCGCTCCGCCCCTCCTCGCGGAGGTCCACCTCGTGGCCGGCGGCGTCCGCGCTGTTGCCCGCCTCGTCGCCGTCGAAGTAGCCGCCTCCGCCGCCTCCGCCGCCTCCGCCGCCTCCGCCGCCTCCGCCGCCTCCGCCGCCTCCGGCTCCGCCGCCGCCTCCGGCCGCGCCGCCGGCGACGACGCCGCCGGCGGCTTCGCCCTCCGAGCTGCCGTCGGCGTCGAAGTAGCCCTTCTTCACCTCGGGGTAGTCGTCGCCCCTCTCGTCGTCCTCCTCCTCCTCCTCCTCCTCCTCATCATCCTCCTCCTCCTCCTTCGTGGTGGTCGCGTCGCCACCGCCGCCCTCGTAGGAGAAGCGCTCCTCCTCCTCCTCCTCCTCCTCGGCTCCCTCGCCCCCTTCGAAGTCGTCTCCCGCGGCGACCACCTCCTCGACGGACGACGACGACGACGACGAGCTCTCCGCGTCGTCGTCGTCCGCTTCCTCCACGTCGTTCTGGGAGTCGTCGGCGTCGTTCTCCTCCTCCTCCTCCTCCTCCGCCTCCTCCACGTCCTCCGCATCCTCGGCGTCGTTGGGGGCGTCGTCCTCCTCCTCCTCCGCCTCCTCGGCGTCCTCCGCCTCCTCCGCCTCCTCCTCCGCCTCCTCTGCCTCCTCCGCGTCCTCCGCGTCCTCCGCGTCCTCGCGTGAACAGCTAGACCCATCCGACAGCACCACCTCCTCCGGACTCATCTTCGTCGAGTCGTCAAAATTCTCCTCCTCGTCGACCGCGCGGTCCTCTTCTCCTCCCCCTCCTCCTCCTCCTCCTCCTCCGTCCTCCTCTTCCTCCTCTTCTTCCTCCTCCTCGTCATCCTCCTCCTCCTCATCCTCGCCGCCGCCGCCGCCGCCGGCCGCGTCTCCGTTCTCGCCGTCGCCGTCCGCCGGCGCCGCGGGGATGTCGTCGGCCAACGCCGCGGCCGCCGCGGCCACGACCGCCGCCCCCACCACCTCCTCCACCTCCTCCTCCTCCTCCTCTTCCTGGCTGCTGCTGCTGCTCCGCCGGCGCCTCCGCCGCCGACGCCGCCGACGCCGCCGCCGGCGGCTGGCGCTCGCCGCCCTCGAAGCCGAGCCCGTGCTTCAGCGCTCGCAGCTCCCGCATGTCGAAGCCGAGCAGCACCTCGGCGTGCCGGCGCTCGACCCCGCGCAGGCACTGCTTGCGCTTCATGGAGAACATGCCGGCCACCTCCGTCTTGTTGAGCCACAGGCGCGACGTCAGCGCCTCCACCTCCTGCCGGTTGGGGTAGGGCCTCGCGTGGAAGTAGCCGACGAGGAAGCGCTTCCGCTCCTCGTAGCTCTTCCCCTCCACGCTCTCCGTGCTCAGCGCCAGGTTCACCTTCGCCGGCGCCGGCGCCGCCGCCGCCGCCGCCCCCGCGCCGCCGCCGCCGCCGCCGCCGCCGGCCGCGCCGGCCGAGGGACGGGCCGCCGAATTGGCCGTGGCCGCCGGCGAACGCCCCCCGCGCGCCGCCCGTCCTTCGCCCCGTCTGCCGCGGCGGCTGGACGCCGCCGGTCACCGCCATCCCCCCTCCGCCGATGCTGGTGGTGCCGCTGGCGCCTATCGAGCCCCCGAGCACGCCGCCGAGTCCGCCGTTGCCGCCCTTGGCCAGGTTGGGCGGCGTCTGGACGGCGCCGGCGCCGCCGCCGCCGCCGCCGCCACCGGCGCCGGCGCCGCCGGCCGCGCCGCCGCCGCCGGGGGTCTTGGGCGGCACTCGCCCCACGCAGTGCTTCTGGTGGGCCGCGATGGTGCTGGACTGCACGGGGTCCTGGTAGCGGCCGCGGCAGCGCGTGCAGCAGTAGGAGACCGTCTGACGGCTGGGGTGGCGTAGCGTGAACACGTTGTGCTTGGCGTGGAGGTGCTGCTCCATGAGCGAGCTCAGCTGGCTCTTGAGGCCGATCACACGGTCCTGGCAGAAGAGGCACAGGGACTTCACCACGATGTTGCCGTCGGCCAGCACCGGCGGCTGCTGCTGCTGCTGCTGCTGCTGAGCGGCGTTGCGGTTCGCGCCGGGCCTCTGCTGCGCCGGGAACCGAGACGACATCCCCGTCGCGCCGGCACCGCCGCCCGGCGGCCTGCGACCGCCCGGCGCCGCCGCCGCCGCCCCTGGCCGCGCCGGAAACCCCGGCGCCCGCCGCGTAGCCCATCCCGGCCGACGACATCGGCTGGCCGGCCGACCCCGACCTGCCGCCGCCGGCGTGCGCCGTCTGGTTGCTCGGGTGCTTGGAGCTGAGCGGCAGGGGGAAGGGCACGGGCAGCTGGCTGCCGTGCTTCTTGTGCGCGTGGGCCATGAGCGACGCCGAGTTGGGGAAGGACATGCGGCAGGCGTAGCAGACGTCGCCGTGCGCCAGCAGGTGAGTCGAGAACATGCTTCGGCGCACCAACGCGCTGCACATGCCGCAGCGCACCACGGGGTCGGCCGGCGCCCTGCCGCCCTGCTGCTGCTGCTGCTGCTGCTGCTGGTGCCCGTGCGGAGGCAGCCGCTTGCCGAGCGCCGGGCACAGCGTCGCCAGGTGCTTCCCGTACGACTCCTCCGGCACCAGCTCCATGCAGCGCTCGCACAGCTTCCACTTCTGCGTCGAGTTGGCGCCGGAGCCGCCGCCGCCGCCGGAGCCGCCGCGCCCGCCCTGCTGGTGCCCGGCGAGCGAAGGAACGCGGCCCCACAGCTGCTGCTGCTGCTGCTGCTGGTGGTGCTGCTGCTGGTGGTGCATTTGCTGCTGGGGAGGCAGGCGGCTCGAGTGAGCGCCCGAGTAGCCGGCGGGAGGGGCGCCGGCGCCGCCGCCGGCGGGCGGGGGCTTGCGCACGCCGCTCACCTCGGCCGGGTGCAGGCCGCCGAGCTTGAGGAAGTGTCCGATCAGGGACTTGGGCTCCACGTTGCCGTGCACCTTGGCCACGTGCTTCAGCATGTTGGGGTAAGACTCCTCCTTGAGTCCGCAGCGCTTGCAGAAGTAGACGTCGACGTAGCGGCCGTTCTTGGACGAGGCGCCGACGTGCGACGGACCCACGCCCCCGCCGGCGCCGTTCGGCACTCCTCCACCGCCTCCGCCGCCTCCTCCTCCTCCGCCTCCACCGCCTCCTCCGCCGCCTCCCCTCCCCGACGCGGCCGACACCACGACGGCGGACGCGTGCTGCTGCCCGGCGCCGGAGCCGCGCGAGCCGCCGCCGGCAGGCGCCTGCATGCGGCACATCTCCAGGACGATGCCGATGACCTCGGAGGCGACGCCGACGCGGTGGGCGCGTGCCACGTGCGTGCGCATGGTCAGGAAGTTGGTGCTCTTCTGCGAGCACCGGCGGCACACGAAGAACATCTGCTGGAAGACGCCGGGGCGGCCCGCCAGCTCGAGGCTGCCGCGCGGCGGGTGGAAGGAGGCGACGTGGCGCTCCATGGCGGGGCGGCCCGCTCGGAAGGGGCAGAAGACGCAGCCGAAGGTGACGCACTGCTCCAGGCGGTTGTAGTGCTGGCTGTCGGCGTGGTACTCGAGGCTGCGGGGATTCGCCGCCACGTGGCTGCAGAGGCGGCAGCGGGTGTTCTCCGGCACGCCCTGCCGAGCCGGCGGGAGGGGCGGGAGGGGCGGGGAAGGAGCGGCGGTGAGGTGAGAGTGTGGGCGGCACGACCGCGGAGGAGTCGGACCGACGTACGGTGTGGGGTGCGTGGGTGGGTGGGTGGGTGGTGGGTGCTTTAAAACAAGAATTGCTAAAACACTTGCACGGGGGAGCGATCGTTTTGCAAGGAAAGAGAGGGGATGAATACCCCGCCACGCGATTCAACAGGTGTACGAGAATAGTTTTTTCCCTCTTTGCCGCCAACAGAACAGCCGCGCCGAGATGTCAAGACGCCAAACTGAAACCTTTTCACGAGGGATCCTGTTGCCGCGTCAGCCACGATACTTTGTGGCCAGAATGCAAGCAAAAAAACGCACTCTGATAATATATGCATCGTCTTTGAAGCTTGATTAGTCCCACGCCAGCAACAAATGTAATCTCTCTTTGGTTCTATCGGTAAAGTCACGTAGAATGAGAATAAAATAATAAATTGATCAAATAAAATGTTATTCTCATTCTACGTGGTGGTGGTGGTGGTGGTGACTTTACCGAAAGAACCAAAGAAGATGAATCCTTGCAGCTTTAAAACCGAAACAAATGTGAACACGTTAATAGCTTCAAAAAGTTAAAGAGTCTCAAATTGTTCGCCTAGAACCTTCCCTCCTCCAGGTGGGGTCTCTCCAGGCACATTTCCCGTGGTGGTGGTGGTGTTGTTGCGAAATCTCAGAAGCGTCAAAACAACTGTTGTTTCGTAAGCACCCTGTACGGTAAACAGTTGTTAATAATTCAAGCGTGTAATGTGCGTGCTCCCATCCCAAGATTTCCCCCCCAATGCGCAAAGAATTAAAAGCAGCGACACAAAACAAAAAAACAGAACCAATAAGGGAGGGGAGGGGGGGGGGTAGGGAGCAACCGACCGAAGTGAAGAGTCAACTTAGGGTAAGATCGCCAAAGTAATAAATGTGTCGTAACCCTCCACCACCCAACACAGCCAAAGCAAGGTTCGCCACGCAGAACCACGCGCCAATTAGTGACCGCTTCAGCCCACCGGCGTGTGCGGTGGGGGGAGAGGGGGGGGAGAGCAAACCAGCGACCCCGAACCCAAAAAAAAACTCTACTATAAAATAAAATAACATCGGCCGGCGAAAGCCTACGTGTTAAACTTGAGGTGACATCTACGGACCTCCGATCGCCCCGACCTCTAGCGGCGAGGGCGTTCCCCCCACCCCCCCCACCACACACAGCCCGCGGGGGGGGGTGCCACGCTCGCACTAGCGCCGATCTTAACCCTGTGGGGCCACCCACACCCTGGGAAGTGCCGAGCGGTTTGGAGATCGGGAGATCTTGGGGGGGGTGGGTGTGGTGGATATCTTGCTGGAATGTACGAATGCAATTACTTCCCGTGCGCGTATCGCGTGCGGCGGCGAGCACCCTTTTAGAGACTTGCAGGTTTAATAGCGGCATCTTGAAACAGCCCTCGAGGCTGGAAATTTGGTCATTGGGATCCTACGCCGAAATGGGCGTCATGCATCAGAATTATATCCCTCTGTTGCAAACCGGAGGATTCCCCCCTCCCCCCCCCCACACTGATCTGGCCTGTCCCCGCCTGATGATGCCGGTTGCAATAACTGGCGAAACGTCGGACTCACAAGATTTGTCAACGCCGCGGATTTGCTCTCCGACAACACCACCACCGGCTGCAGTGCTGTACCGGTAACGAAATGGCACGCTCTGTTCACGTGACAAACCCACACAAAACCCCTGTAATTATGGACGATATTGGAGGGGGAGGGGTCGCAAAAGCCTACGTGTTAAACCAAAATAATTGTATTACATTTTACCAGGTGTAATGGGCCACCGCCCCCAACCCCCCCAACGGAGCTGCTACCAGATACTCTGAACGCACAGAGACCCGTAAAGACCCAGAGATCCACTCGTAGAGACCCATTACTAAAACTCAACTATTTTATTTTGCCAATTAAAGCCCCACTTAGCTACGGAGGGAGGAGGGGGTGGGTGGAGGAGGGGGCGGGGTGAGGAGGGTGGCCATCAATCCCTCTCACCTTCCTCCTCTTGGGCGGGGGAGGGTCTCCACACGAGATGTGATCCCACTTGGTGTGCTTGTAGAACCACGACACAACCTCATGGTCCTGATGGTCGAGCTGCAACAACAACAACCGTGCAACAATTACACACAGCCCCCCGCACCACAACACTCGCACGGAGCAATCGCGCGCGCACACACACACCCCGCACACACAACCATCATCCACACGAAACAATCAACTAAGAACAATCTCACACACACACACACCGCACAACACACATCACACAGAACAAATCACACACACACACACAATAATTACACACCGAACACACTTCACATGGAACAATCACACAACCCTCACCCACACGCAACAATCAACACGGAACAATCACACACACACACACACCGCACAACACACATCACACGGAACAATCACACACACACACACATCACAAACAACCACACACCCGCACCACGACAATCACACAGCACAGGCGCACACATCAATCACACCCAACACTCGCACACCCCGCACCACAACAATCATACAGAACAATCAAACACCCGCACCACAACAATCGCACACAACACTCGCTACACAACAATTACAGACAACACAACAATCACTCGCCACGCACGCGCACACACACAAAAATCACACGTAACCAACCACACACACAGAACAAATGGACATCACACGCAACAATCACACACACTGTGCATTTACATAGAACTTCTTCGGCACCGTACGTAGCCAACCGCGCTAGGGAAGGACAACTAACCACGAACAACAGTTCTAAAGAAATTAGTTTGTCAATCTAGACAATGATTTAGAGGGCATAGCTACTGTGGTTTTCTAATATCCAGAGGAAGAGCGGCCGCAGAAGCGCATCTGAATGCGCCCGATGCAGTGAGTCCATGGGTAGATGTACGAGTCTATGGGTGTCTGTGAGAGTCTACGGGTGTCTGTGAGAGTCTACGGGTGTCAGTGCGAGTCTATGGGTGTCCGTGAGAGTCTACGGGTGTCCGTGAGAGTCTACAAGTCTCTGTGAGAGTCTACGGGTGTCTGTGAGAGTCTACGGGTGTCTGTGAGAGTCTACGGGTGTCTGTGAGAGTCTACGGGTGTCTGTGAGAGTCTACGGGTGTCTGTGAGAGTCTACGGGACTCTGAGTCTACGGGTGTCCGTGCGAGTCTACGGGTGTCCGTGAGAGTCTACGGGTGTCTGCGAGCGTCTACGGGTGTCCGAGAGAGTCTACGGGTGTCTGTGAGAGTCTACGGGTGTCTGTGAGAGTCCACGGGTGTCTGTGAGAGTCTACGGGTGTCTGTGCGAGTCTACGGGACTGTGAGTCTACGGGTGTCTGTGAGAGTCTACAGGTGTCTGTGAGAGTCTACGGGTGTCCGTGAGAGTCTACGGGTGTCCGTGAGAGTCTACGGGTGTCCGTGCGAGTCTACGGGTGTCTGTGAGAGTCCACGGGTGTCTGTGAGGGTCTAAGGGTGTCTGTGAGAGTCTACGGGTCTCTGTGAGAGTCTACGGGTGTCCGTGAGAGTCTACGGGTGTCCGTGAGAGTCTACGGGTGTCCGTGCGAGTCTACGGGTGTCTGTGAGTGTCTACGGGTGTCTGTGAGAGTCTACGGGTGTCTGTGAGAGTCTACGGGTGTCCCAGAGAGTCTACGGGTGTCTGTGCGAGTGTACGGGTGTCCGTGAGAGTCTACGGGTGTCCGTGCGAGTCTACGGTGTCTGTGAGAGTCTACGGGTGTCTGTGAGAGTCTACGGGTGTCCGTGAGAGTCTACGGGTGTCCGTGAGAGTCTACGGGTGTCCGTGCGAGTCGACGGGTGGCTGTGAGAGTCTACGGGTCTCTGTGAGAGTCTACGGGTCTCTGTGAGAGTCTACGGGTCTCTGTGAGAGTCTACGGGTGTCTGTGAGGGTCTACGGGTGTCTGCGAGAGTCTACGGGTGTCTGCGCGAGTCTACGGGTGTCTGTGCGAGTCTACGGGTGTCTGTGCGAGTCTACGGGTGTCTGTGAGAGTCTACGGGTGTCTGTGAGAGTCTACGGGTGTCTGTGCGAGTCTACGGGTGTCTGTGCGAGTCTACGGGTGTCTGTGCGAGTCTACGGGTGTCTGTGAGAGTCTACGGGTGTCTGTGCGAGTCTACGGGTGTCTGTGAGAGTCTACGGGTGTCTGCGCGAGTCTACGGGTGTCTGTGCGAGTCTACGGGTGTCTGTGCGAGTCTACGGGTGTCTGTGAGAGTCTACGGGTGTCTGTGAGAGTCTACGGGTGTCTGTGCGAGTCTACGGGTGTCTGTGCGAGTCTACGGGTGTCTGTGCGAGTCTACGGGTGTCTGTGCGAGTCTACGGGTGTCTGTGCGAGTCTACGGGTGTCTGTGAGAGTCTACGGGTGTCTGTGAGTGTCTACGGGTGTCTGTGAGTGTCTACGGGTGTCTGTGCGAGTCTACGGGTGTCTGTGAGAGTCTACGGGTGTCTGTGAGAGTCTACGGGTGTCTGTGCGAGTCTACGGGTGTCTGTGCGAGTCTACGGGTGTCTGTGAGAGTCTACGGTGTCCGTGAGAGTCTACGGGTGTCCGCGAGAGTCTACGGGTGTCCGTGAGAGTCTACGGGTGTCCGTGAGTGTCTATGGGTGTCTGCGAGCCTACGGGTGTCTGTGAAAGTCTACGGTTGTCCGTGAGAGTCTACGGGTGTCCGTGAGAGTCTACGGGTGTCTGTGCGAGTCTACGGGTGTCTGTGTGAGTCTACGGGTGTCTGTGAGAGTCTACGGGTGTCTGTGCGAGTCCACGGGTGTCTGTGAGAGTCCACGGGTGTCTGTGAGAGTCTACGGGTGTCTGTGAGAGTCTACGCGTGTCTGTGCGAGTCCACGGGTCTCTGTGAGAGTCTACGGGTGTCTGTGAGAATCTACGGGTGTCTGTGCGAGTCTATGGGTGTCTGTGAGAGTCTAAGGGTGTCTGTGAGAGTCTACGGGTGTCTGTGCGAGTCTACGGGTGTCCGTGCGAGTCTACGGGTGTCCGTGCGAGTCTACGGGTGTCCGTGCGAGTCTACGGGCGTCCGTGAGAGTCTACGGGTGTCTGTGAGAGTCTACGGGTGTCTGTGCGAGTCTACGGGTGTCTGTGCTAGTCTACGGGTGTCTGTGCTAGTCTACGGGTGTCTGTGCGAGTCTACGGGTGTCTGTGAGAGTCTACGGGTGTCTGTGAGAGTCTACGGGTGTCTGTGCGAGTCTACAGGTGTCTGTGCGAGTCTACGGGTGTCTGTGCGAGTCTACGGGTGTCTGTGAGCGTCTACGGGTGTCTGTGCGAGTCTACGGGTGTCTGTGCTAGTCTACGGGTGTCTGTGAGAGTCTACGGGTGTCTGTGCGAGTCTACGGGTGTCTGTGCGAGTCTACGGGTGTCCGTGCGAGTCTACGGGTGTCCGTGAGAGTCTACGGGTGTCCATGCGAGTCTACGGGTGTCCGTGCGAGTCTACGGGTGTCTGTGCTAGTCTACGGGTGTCTGTGCGAGTATACGGGTGTCTGTGAGAGTCTACGGGTGTCTGTGAGAGTCTACGGGTGTCTGTGCGAGTCTACGGGTGTCTGTGCGAGTCTACGGGTGTCTGTGCGAGTCTACGGGTGTCTGTGCGAGTCTACGGGTGTCTGTGCGAGTCTACGGGTGTCTGTGCTAGTCTACGGGTGTCTGTGCGAGTCTTCGGGTGTCTGTGAGAGTCTACGGGTGTCTGTGAGAGTCTACGGGTGTCTGTGAGAGTCTACGGATGTCTGTGCGAGTCTACGGGTGTCTGTGAGAGTCTACGGGTGTCTGCTGTGTGATGAGTCCAAGGGTCTGTGTGATAAGTCTATGCATGTGTGTATGTATGTTGAACTTCTTTCACACCATACGTAACCAACCGTGCTAAACGGAGCTACATGGTGGGGGGGGGGAATGACAACCTAATCATAAAAAGCAGCTCTAAAAGAAATGAGTTTACAATCTAGATCAGGGGTGGGCAACCTTTTTTCTGCCAAGGGCCATTGGGATATTTATCATCAACTTAAAAATTAGCTCGTTATTATTTTTTGGTCAAACGTTTAATTAACTCGCCCCCCCCCCCCCCCTAATGCGATGGGCTGGAACCGCTTCTGTTTGGGTGAGGCGTGTGGTGGTGGTGGTGGTGGTGGTGATGTTAGCCGGCTATTGACGATGTTGCCGCTACTCGCGAATGCTTTCCCAGGTTTGCCCCTACCTTCGAGTCTCGCCTGCTGTTGCCCTTGGCAGGGCCAGAGACCCAAAATGATTTCGCGGGCCTCATACGGCCCGTGGGCCGGACGCTACCCCACCCCTGATGTAGACGATGATTTTAAAAGCGCATCGGCTCCACCGGTGGCTTCCTGATGTCCGGACATCTGTGAGAAAGAGCTTCACAAGCTCCGTACTCTTTGGTTCTATTGGGTGAAGTCACGTAGGTGTTATTTTATATTCACCTACGTGACTTTACCCAATAGAACCAAAGAGTATGGACCTTAGCAGTCACGAAAGCTTCGAATCTAGAATCTTCGCAAGCTCATCGGATTCCTCCGGTCTGAAACAAGAAATGTCCTGTGACGTCGCCAGAGCTTTCCAGACGGCCGCCGCGGCGACCGCCTTTCGTGCGCCTAGCAAAGACGGTCGCCTCGTTTCGCATTCTATCTCCCGGCGCGGCAGTCTCTCTAACGCCCCCCCCGCCACCGCCCCCCCTCCACCACACGCACGGCCACCTTGAGCGCATCCTGGCAGAACTCGAGGCCGATGTCCGACAGGATCCTCTTCACCGCTCCGCGCCCCTTCCGGATCGTCTCAAGGTTGTTCACCGGAAGCTGAAACATGGTGGCGGTGGCGGTGGCGGCCGCCGCGGCGGGGCCAACCTCGTCACCTGTCACGGTGGGAGGGGGGGGGAGGAGGTAGCGGTGGTGGAGGAGGAGGAGGAGGAGGCGGTGGAGGAGATAGTGGAGGAGTAGGTGGTGGCGGCGGCGGAGGTTGTGAGGAGAAGATGGCGGGGATGGCAGGGAGGTGGCGGTTGTGAGGAGGAACGGAGCGGAGGAGGAGGGAGGAGGTAGGAGATGTGCGAGGAGTTCGCAAGGAAGAGGATGATGAGGAGCGGCGGACGTGGGTGGGGGGTGGGGGGGGGGGAGAGAGAGGCGCCGGTTATCCACACAGGAACCGTGGTTGAGTGCTGTGGGCAACTGCAGGCGAGGAGGGGGGGGGTCTGCACCTTTGTAACCCACCACCCACCCCTCCCCGATTTACCACAGCTGCACCGGGACATCGACAGCACCGGGAGCATCGGCGGTGTTGCAAATCGTGGCCATGCAAAACCACTGCAACACAAGCAGCAATCATCATCAGGCGTGAAAACCTTCTACGTGGTGACTTTACCGAAAGAACCAAGAATATGAATCCCTGCAGTCACGAAAGCGTTAAATAAAAACATAAAGCATCGTTTACATTTTAACAGGCAAGGCGAAATTGGCCGTCGCAAAATGCAAACCGCCACCGGACAGCAGTGGCTAGTCGCGGGGAAATTCGAGGCAACAGCCAAACGCTCTGAACGCGTGGGTGACGTTGCTACTTAATGCGGCCGGGGAGGGGAAAAATCGGAGGACCCGGAGAAAAATCCACACTGCCACCAGGCGAGGTAGTTAACATCTCCTAGCCACCGTGATGATGATGAGAGACGCAAACTCCACATGTACGGCAACAGGCGTCAGGGTCGAGATCGAACCCACGACTTCCTGTATACCAGGCGAGGTAGTTAACATCTCCTAGCCACCGTGATGATGATGAGAGACGCAAACTTCAAATGTACAGCAGCAAGCGTCAGGGTCGAGATCGAACCTAAGACCTACTGCGTACCAGGCGAGGTAGTTAACATCTCCTAGCCACCGTGATGATGATGAGAGACGCAGACTCAAAATATACAGCAGCAGCAGGCGTCAGGGTCGAGATCGAACCCACGACTTCCTGCATACCAGGCGAGGTAGTTAACATCTCCTAGCCACCGTGATGATGATGATCAGAGACGCAATTTCCAAATGTACAGCAGCAGAGGCGTCAGGGTCGGGCTCGAACCCACGACTTCCTGCATACCAGGCGAGGTAGTTAACATCTCCTTGCCACCGTGATGATGATGAGAGAGAGAGACGCAAACTCCAGAGACACACAGAGTACATACAGGCCCGTAGTGATACACACTCGTACGTAGACTCGTAGGGATATCCAAGCGACCCACGGAGATATATTTGAAGACACAAGCCACATGAGTGCCATCGTGGTCCTTTCAACGAAACGCACGCGCCATGGACCGCCCGGGCAAACCCCAGGGAGACGCACCGAGACGCAGAGATTCCCAGAGGCTCGCGTTCACGGTGCCGGAGCGCGATCGCCGCCACCGCCGCCGCCGCCACGCAACTCAAACCGTGGATCGCTCCCTTCGCGGACCCACGGCGATATGCGGAGACCCGCGGAGCCACGCGGGGAACTCGAGACGGACCCCTTGCGGAGGCGAAGAGGCACGCGTTAAGAGGCACAGGGAATACGCAGGGGACCCGCAGCGGTAAAAAACCAACCCGTGCAGCACGGCACGGGACGGGGGGCAGCTCGGCCTTTCCGCGACCAATCGGCGGCACCCAATGGCGCGCCTCTCACCCAACCACAGAGGCGGTAGCGCAAAGTTCGTGTGCGGCACCCCGGTACCCGCGGCCGTCGGGGAGAAAAACACGGAGGACACCCCCGCGCGTGTTCCTACACGTGTGTCCCCCACGTGGTCCCCCACGTGTGTCCCCCACGTGGTCCCCCTGGTGTTCCCACGGCTTTGCTGTTGACGTTGCTAATACTGCTGTATGCATGCCGAGCTTCTGATGCCGCTTGATGCTGCTGCATGTACGCCGAGCTTCTGATGATTATGCTGCTGACGATGTCAATACTGCCGCTGCGTGCATGACGAACTTCTTTCGCACTGCACGTAGGCAAGCGTGGCTCAACGTAGGGTGCGGGGGAAGGACAACAGACTAAAAACAAAAAGCTCTCTTAAGCACCGCTTACTAGCACTGCTACTCTCCGATGCTTTCGTTACTGCTGCCGATACTGCTGCTGCTTCCTGATTCCACTGCTGATGCTGCCAACCACTCCTTCCTGATGCTGCTGCTGCTGCTAGTGTTGCTGCTGATGATGATGCTGCTGCTGCTCAGCACAGCTTCCTCCTGATGCTATTAATGCTGCTCTGAGGCTGGCTCTTGTGCTAGAGTCCGCTAGGCTCGCGCGACAGGTATAGAGGCGTCTACGGTGCTAGTGTTAATTACACTGTGGCTGGCTAGCGTTCCGGTGTTAGAGACACAGCACGGGTCGACTAGGCTAGCGTGTTACGACCATGATCTTGGGAGTCTAGCGTGTTATGACTGATCTTGGAGTCTAGCGTGTTATGACTGATCTTGGAGTCTAGCGTGTTATGACTGATCTTGGAGTCTAGCGTGTTACGACCATGATCTTGGAGTCTAGCGTGTTATGACTATGATCTTGGGAGTCTAGCGTGTTATGACTATGATCTTGGAGTCTAGCGTGTTATGACTATGATCTTGGGAGTCTAGCGTGTTACTATGATCTTGGGAGTCTAGCGTGTTACAACTATGATCTTGGAGTCTAGCTAGCGTCATGACTATGATCTTGGAGTCTAGCGTGTTACTATGATCTTGGGAGTCTAGCGCGTTACTATGATCTTGGGAGTCTAGCGTGTTACTATGATCTTGGAGTCTAGCGTGTTATGACTATGATCTTGGGAGTCTAGCGTGTTACTATGATCTTGGAGTCTAGCGTGTTATGACTATGATCTTGGAGTCTAGCGTGTTATGACTATGATCTTGGAGTCTAGCGTGTTACTATGATCTTGGAGTCTAGCGTGTTATGACTATGATCTTGGAGTCTAGCGTGTTATGACTATGATCTTGGAGTCTAGCGTGTTACGACTATGATCTTGGAGTCTAGCGTGTTACTATGATCTTGGAGTCTAGCGTGTTACTATGATCTTGGAGTCTAGCTAGCGTCACGACTATGATCTTGGAGTCTAGCGTGTTACTATGATCTTGGGAGTCTAGCGCGTTACGACCATGGTCTTGGAGTCTAGCGTAGCGTCACGACTATGATCTTGGAGTCTAGCGTGTTACAACCATGGTCTCGGCAGTCTAGCGCGTTACGACCATGGTCTTGGGAGTCTAGCGTGTTAGAGCTACAGTCTTGGGAGTGGGAGTCTAGCGTGTCATAGCCAGTCTTGGGAGTCTAGCGTGTCACAGCCAGTCTTGGGAGTCTAGTGCTGCGAGCGTCAGACACTGGCTGTCTGTCTGGCGTGCCAGCGTGCCAGCGTTAGGCAACTCTTAATACGCCTATTTGAAAGCTGGTCATCAGAGGCAAAACGTTCATTGAATGCGACTCTCATCAGGCCCCTTTTGCGCCCCACGTTTGCCAACAAGTTGCAGGCGCTTACAAACCCCCTACGCCTCTACACAAGGGAACGAAACGGGTGGTGGGGCTTCTCCACAAACCTGTCTTGTCGCCTGATGAAGCTCGTTGGAATCACCGGCGAAGCGTCGTACTCGGATTGTAAATGTTGTGGCCTGGCTCTCCAGCACACCGGTTGGTGCTGTACTGGTGACGGATTGGCCACGCTCTGTTCACGTGACAGCCCTTGACCAGAGTTGGCCGTGCCGGGTGCTGGCGGGGGCTCCACGACACATTGACGCGATCCAACCCAAAAAAAAAAAACCCTTTACAAACCCTCCGCCATCCACGGCCGTCTCTCGCACACCGGCCTAGCCGCGAAGGAGAGGAATTCGGCCCTCGCTTCTTTTAAGCGCGGTTCAGGCGACAGGGTGCGAGTGAAGTTCTGCGTGGGGGGGGGGGGAGCCGAGCCGGCGGTTAAGTGTTCGGGTTCGGGCTATTGTGTGGCCGGATAACGCACACACACGCGCGCACACACACACACACGCACGGGCGTGCACACCACCCCCCAAGCTACTCGCACACAGTGAGACGCGTACCCCTCCCCCACCACCAGTTACACGGCCCTTCCCACTCTTCTTTCTCCTCTCACTGCCACGTGGTGGGTACAGCAGCAGCAGCAGCTTCAGCAGCAGCATTATTAGACGCAGCAGCAGCATCATCATCATCAGCATTGTCAGCAGCATCAGCAGCAGCACTGTTGTTAGCAGCATCTTCAACAGCAGCACTGTCAGCAGCAGGAGCGGCAAAGAAAAAGCAGCATCCTCATCAGCGGCAGCATCATCATCAGCAACAGCAAAACCATCGGCAGCATCATCATCATCAACAGCATCATCATTAACAGCAGCAGTATCATCAGCAGCAGCATAATCATCATCATCAGCAGGCCACCTCACTTCTCTTTCTGCTTCTTCCCACACTTTGCTCCAATCTGGAATTTTCTCCCACCACCACCACCGCCACCACCTCTCCAAACTCTCACAACAAGACCATCGCGGCTCCATTCAAACAAACGCGATGAACCGTCCCGTTACTACGGTCTTGTAAAGAAACCCCCCACACACGGTGGTTCATTGCGTCCGTGGGGGGGGGGCATGTGCATAGGTACGTGCAAGTGTGGCGGGGAGCGGAACCCGGCCACGACCCGGGTTCGATTCCCGCTCACGGCCAACACCGGTGACGATTATTCGAACCGGTCCTGGGCCTCAAACGAGTACCTGGTGCGGCGCGTAGTGAACATCGCCGCGAGGGAGACAAAGGCAGCCGGGCGTGGTGCTGGCCACCCACCACCCCTCTCGTGTGCCACAGAGTGCCGGGCCTTCGTAGGTGCTCGCCAACAGCACTTGCCCCGCCAGTCTGTTACAGGCTACAGAGGATCTTTGTCTCCGTGTGT